GACAAGGGCGACGACTAAGCAAGCCGCAGTTCTGGTGATGTCGTCGTCGTAGACGAGGGTATTCAGTCTCGGCGGCTGAGTCGGCGAGCTTGTTGTACAGGTGAGAGTTCCCTCCTCCAAATTCCCAACTGGGCAAGTATAAATACCACGCACCTTCTCTCTTCTGACGCGTAAAAGTTTTCGCAATCTCTGATAAGAGATTAGCACGTGCCCAAAAATGGAAAGGGAGGAACTTCTATATATCACACGGAAGGAGCGAGTCGTCCCAGTCTCCTGCTCCCTCTTCGCATTCAAGGGCTGCCTACCTAGGCAGGCAAACAGATCACAGAATTTTGACAAAAGCAAACACGTGGCAGAAAGTCAACGCAGGAAAGGGAAATGGTGACTTGTACTAACATGAACTCATTATTGAGTATCAAGACTCTCAGTCAATAGAGCTGGTTATTTACCAACATAGAAGTTGATCAAGGGATGTTGTTGAAAGTAAATATGAGGCTGACATCTAGTGTGACTGAGCATACATTGGTGGAGCCTAACGGCACGCCGGATGGCTCACTCTGCGGGTGCAGGAGGCACACCAGGCATCCAAGCCAATCATTCATATGCACAACCCCCTTGTTCAGGTACAGTACTGGCAGCCAGCTCTTTGGTGTCACATTCATGTAAAGAGTGCATGCACTCAATGATATCGCCAATGAACCCAATGCTATTTTCTCATCGCTTTGAACTATCTCATCACCACCTCAGCTATGCAGGTACAATTTACATCTCTCCCCCATTAATTAAACCCTTCCCCTCTTCGCCACCGGGCTCCTCGACCTAGACCTCGACCTTGAACTACTATAATACCTCCTCTTATTCCCATAACCCCCAGGACTCCTCGACCTCGACCTCCTCCCATCCCCATCCCTCATCGCAATCGGTGATGGAGATCTGGTATACCGCATTTGCTTCCTCGCAGGTGGCGAAGCCCGACCTCTGCTCCTACTCCTACTAGCCGAATAGGAATCATCCCTCCTCCTTTTAACAGCAGTTGACTGGTCAGCCACAGGAGAAACAGATCTCGAATAAGACCTGCTTCTCGTACGAGTGCGTCCCCGGCGAGGTGGCGGTGAGTGGCTCCTATCTCTAACATTCCCCACCGGACTCCGATCCCGTGGCGGAGGCGAACGGGACCAGCTCCTGCTTCTGCTTCTGCTCATGCTGCGGTCCCTGCTAAGGCTCCGGCTGTCACGGCGGGCGGCACGCGGGGGAGGAGAACGTGAGATGGACCGCCTGGGGGAAATAGACCGAGAATAGCTCCTGCTCCTGCTCCGGCTGCGACTGTAGGAATCATCTCTTGCCCGGCGTGGCGGTGTGCGAGACCAAGACCGACCCCTATCGATAGTCTTGCGTGGCGGTGTCCGAGAACGAGACCGCGAGCGAGATGAATAAGACGAGTAAGAAGAGTAACTAGACACCGACTCGGAATCCGAATCCGCAGGGGGCGCTGGCAGTGCCGGCTTTGGCATATTCTGCAGAAACTCTCTCATTTCGTCGGTAAGATAGCCCATCTTGATCGACGTAAAGTAGTTAATCGAGAAGCGAATATTGCGCGGTTCGTCGTGCGGGAACAAGCCCTCCAAACTCGGCTTCAGGATATCTTCGGACAACCTCGTCTTGAGCTTAACTGTGCCCATATTCTCCTGCAAGTCCTCAAACAGAATCTTGATGAAAATACGGCTCGCCGACGTCGTCTCCTCCTCATTCAGGTGGATAATTGAGAGGACATGCCACCCAATCGAATCCGACGACAGCAGATGCCCAAAGAACCTCGCAATGTTCCTCAGCTTGTTCGTCTCGTACCGATGAATCGTCGTATAGTACTTCATAAACGACTCCTCGAACAGCTCCATCCACATCCTATTCAACCTCGCAAACCTCTCCCCCAGCAATCCCATGAACTTGAGATAGACCTTCTCCTGCGCGCACGACTCGACAATCATCGACACCAACTCCGGCTCCTGTCCCATCGGCAACCTCAGCTTCATCAGCTTATGCGCCGCCTCCTCCGGATCCGCACTCGATTGAATACTCAGGTAAATCGTCCTCCGCAGGTTGACCAAGTCGGCATTACTCTGATCCTTGATCTCAATCGCCTTCTGCTCCTCCTCCTCCTCATCATCCTCACTATCACTCTCCTCACTCCCACTCCCATCTTCATCCTCACTCCCACTCTCCTCTCCCAAAATCTGCGCCTTCAGCTTCTTGTACTCCCCCTCATTCGCCTCCCAATCCGGATCAAACTTGAAGATATTCAGCCCATCCTCCGTCTTGATCTCCTCATCCAGCCCAACCTTGTGCGTGATCTGATCCTCCTCCTCCACCAAATCCAGCTCCTCCTTGATCACCGGGTTGTCTTTGTACTTGTCCTTCCTGACCTGAAACAGCACCTCAATCATGTACTGCGTCCTCTTGTCAATATCCGCCTCGTGAAGAATCCTCCTGAACTCATCAAACACCGCATGGGCCATTGTAGGCGACATCTCCTCCAGAAACAACCCCACCTCCCTCATCAGGCCTACCGCAATCTCCACACTGTCATCCGTCGGCTTCCGCAACAACAGCAGCAACATCTGCGCGGCCAGGTTCTCATGCACAACCTGATTGTTGACCAAATGCGCAATAAACATCGTGCTCGACAAGCAGACCGCTTTATCATTCCTCTTGAACGCCTTCCTGAACCGCATAATCAGCCTCTTGACCAACAACTCCCCCACCTGAGGCAGCTTGGTGTTGCAGATAGCCGCCAGACAGGCGTAAATAGGCGTAAACGGCAAACTAGCATGTTGCGCCTTGAGTAGACTCTGGCAAAACAGACCCCTTCCCCTAATCAAGTTCTCATTGAACAACTCCGGAACCACGAACTTGATATTCGCCGTGTTGATCTTGTTGACCAAGCCATTAATCGACTTCTTGAGCGCTTCCCAAGCCATACGCTGATACTCCTTGCTGCTCTTGTCCGTAATCGCCGCCTGCAGAGCCCGCAGCTTTTGTGGTGGGAGATACACACCCTGACTGCGCAAGGTGAGCAGCTTCTGGTACTCAGCTCTCATATCCTCCAACTTCTGCTCCTCCGTCTTGACCGGCGGTGCAGGAGGGGGAGTGCGCTCTCTCTTGGCTGGCACAGCCGGTGCGGGTCGGTATCGATCCGGTCCATCACGGCGGGGAGGCGGTGAATGTCTTCTCGCAGGAGGCGGCGACCGATCATAATGTCTCGACGGGGGGCTCCGGTCTCGAATCGGGTAGCGGCGGTCGTCGTCTCTATCTCTTGGCGATGGCGACCGGCGGTTCTGGGGTGAAGAAGACCGATCTCTGCGTCGAGGCGAAGGCGATCTATCTCTGCTAGGCGAGCGGCGCGGCGGTGATTGATCGCGAGAATCGACTTGCATCGGCGAGCGCTGAGGGGAAACATCGCGGGAGTATGTCTCCCCATTCTCCAAAGGCGACCTCGATCTCGACCTTTCATCATCGCGGCGGTCTCTCGAATCCCTCGATGGCGACCTCCCATCATCATCACGTCCATCTCCCCTAGAATCAACCGACCGTCCTCTCGAGTCCCTCGACAGCTCCCTTTCCCGTTGAGGCGTCAGCGACCTGGATCTTGACCTCGATTGGCGTTGTGGCGCTGGACTAGGCGACTTCTCGACCTCCGTTTGTCGCGTTCCCTCCACGCTCTCCTCTCTCGCAGGCGTCGCCATCGTTTTCTCCTCTTCTATTTTCGCGTCGATTCCGTTATTTCCATCAAATCCCCTCCCTCAATTTCTCAAAAATTTGCCGAAAAAAGCCGGGGAGTGATGTCGATCGAAGTTGTTTGATGGGAAAAGTTTCACGAGGCTGGTTTTGCCGTCCTCAGCTCTCCAATCTTCCCAGGCACAACCTACTAAACTAAAGCTCGCCCCACTTTTTACTTTTCTCTCTTTTGCCTGCCGGAAGCTTACCCCAAAGAACGCGAAACCCCTGACGCGCCGCCGCCTGCAACGAGCCCAGGCCAGGCCACCGTGGAGCTTCCCGAGCTTCATTTACAGTAGTTGTCCAACTTTGCGACAACGACAACCACCATCACCCACCACCAACACTTTTCCCCCCAACTTCACGTCAACACCTCTTGACAATTCAATTCACTTTTCTCTTCATTACACTCCTTTACTCCCCCCTTATACCCACCCACAATGGTACCTGCCCTTCCCATCTCCTTTCCCCCTTTACCACCACCATAACCACCACCACGACCAACTAACTCCCCATCTGTAAAACAGCTCGACAAACTCGTCGGCCTCGCCATGCTAGCAGCAGCCTCCGTCGTCTTCCTCTACTACACAATCTGGACCCTCCTCATGGTATCTCCCCCCCCTCCTATCGAGCTTATGTTATCACATATACTAACAGAGATGTGACATGTTGCAGCCCTTCGTAGACTCCGACCACCCCCTCCAAAACTTCTTCCCCCCCCGCGTCTGGGCCATCCGCATCCCCGTCATCCTCGTCCTCCTCGGCTCCGCCGTCGTCGGCTCCTTCCTCTCCATCGTCATGATCAGGAGCAACCGCAAGAAGGCGCTCAAGGCTGCCGCCGCCGCCAAAAAGTCTTCTTAAGTTCCCATTTACAATTTATATACCTGCTTGCACGGTGTAATCTGGAACCGCGATTGTGCTTTGAGAGGGCGAGCACGGGAATCTGTTTTATATTATCGAATAATGAAGGGTGTCTGTTGCAAGAGGAGACACGAGGCACTGGAAGTAATGATACCATCAAAAAAAAAAAAACTAATAAAATACCCTCCTGCTCTTGTTTCAACAAGAGCAAAATCAAAACACCACACACACCACATCACTCTGCCGCTCAATGTCAAATCATATCTCAACATCACCGTTCACAACCCACCCGGGATACCCCCTCCACATCTCTCTCCAATCCCCACCCCCAAAACCAAACCACCAAAAAGTCCAAAAACATCCATCAGTGCGGTTTATATGGATCAAACACATGACCTTCAGATTTGACCTTTTTGTCTAGCTGAAGTTGATTTCAGTCTGACGCTCTCCCAACTGAGCTAAACCCGCTTACTACTTCTTCATATCTTTTCCCCCTTCCCCTCCCACCACCTCCCCCTATTCCGTTCTCTCTTACCCCCCTTCCCACCATGTCCCCCTATACCCTCCTCTCTTACTAACCCCCCTTCCCTCACACACACACACACACACACACACACACACACACACACACACACACACACACACACACACACACACACACACACACACACACACACACACATCTCTACATTCACACCAACTACACCCATAGTAAAACACAAACAAAAAAGTTTGTTAAACCCATCCTTTTAATTAGAGGACTCAAGTCTAACCCAAAAAAATCCCTCGTACTCACCCAAACCTCAGGGCTTTCCTCAGGAAGTCAACTATCTACTTTAATTTTCTTGGTTGCTGTTGGTTTTGTTTATCGGTAGTTTCTGGTATATCTCCCCTCTCATGCCTCACCTCACCTCACCTCACCCCCCATTCCATTCCATTCCATAGGTAGGCAGGCAAGCACACTCAACATCACCCATCACCCATCACCCCTCCCCTGACCTAAACTGACCTCTGTCCAAAAACAGAAACCAAACGCCCGGGGGGGGGGGGGGGGGGGGCCGCCCCCCCGCCCCCCCCCCCCCCCCCCGCCCCCGCGCCGCCCCC